CAGAGGTTGCAGGACAGAGCTGCAGGCTTTCAAATTCAGAAATAAAATCACTTTGTTCTTGTAGAAACAAAAGTCCCTCAAGGAACAACTGATGCAGGAGACCTTGTGTGATCTGGCTTTCCTCATCAACAAAACAAAACACTGCACTGTGCTGACTCTCACGGGCTGTTAGATGAAGGTCATTTATTGCCATATACTGTATATTCATCTGCTGCTCCCAACACTGAAGTGTTCTGAGGAACCGACAGGAATTCCCATTTTTTCCTCATGTCAGAAAGTTATAGGTAACATTGTTGACAGTTGCCCAGACAGAAATACCTCCAGAGTCTCCACAATCCACTAAATGAATGTAATCACTGTTTTCTATGTCAGAAGAGATAAGGCAGATATCCCTACACTTGAAGCAAGTATTTTTTTAATATGTGTAAATCGAGGATCACCTTTACTGTAGTTTTAATTGATGTGACCAAAAAAGAAAAGATTCAGTGACAAACACTGTATTCATCCTATGCTTCTTTATCAACAGATGAGAGACAGGGGGATCCTATGGTTTGAGTAGTAGACCAGGAGTTTAAAGAGTGCCATGGACCTTGGGCAAGCTATTTAGGCCCACACTGTCAAACAGTGAGCTAAATGATAATGCTTAGCATCCTTAGCTCTGAGTTTGTCATCTCTGAATGGGCATCTGATGCTGTTCCCTTGCGCTTGGAACTGCTCGGTGTTTGTTTTTTTTTTTTTTTTTCTTTTTCAAGTTCCTGAGGCAGGGTCTTTGTTTCCCCGGCCACACTTCTTGTAAGCACCCTCTACAGATGCACTGGTGAACTGTACTGATGTTATTCCCCTGGTCTTATGGTCAAAGCTAAGAATAAGAAAACACTAAAATAAATTAGATCTTGAGGCAACAGCCTGAACCTCAAGAAAAAAAAGTGTGAAATAGAGTAAGCTCTCATGTCTCTCTCACCTGAAGAGAAAGATCCCTTACCATGATCATGAAGCCAGATATTCAGACTTGTCACACACAAGAAATCAGGGCAGGTCTTGACAAAGCAGTAAGGCTTGCATTCAAGGAAATAGTTTTATTATTCTCTATCATGCTGCTCCATCTGGCTATAAATTGCTGGAAAGTAGCAAGTCTTAAAGAACATCCTCCTTCAGTAACGTCCGGCTGTAACAGTTCCTGAGATGGGATAAGGGCAATCTTCTCATGGTTCACCATGAGACCAGCATACTCTAGGAATTTGATGGTTTGGGAAGCTATCATTTTGTAGCATCATTGTACTATCACCAGTAGATCATCCAGATAGCATTCGATCTTGATGGCACTGGGGTTATAGATAGTTGCTCTGCAGTCTGTGGTATATTGGAAACTGGTTAAAAAAAATGACAAACTACCACTTTACATGTGCGAAATTTCCTGGTCCAGCTTGCAGGACAGGGGTCTCTGAAGGAATTCATGTGATCTGGGTCAGCTGAGTCAGTTCTGCAGCCAGTTTAGAATAGGGTGGGGTGAGTTGGGCCTCTCTGTTTTTAGGGAACAGCCTGCTTTATGTCTGTTTTGGGGTTCTTGTGGGTTATCATTCTGGCCTGAGAAATAAAGTAGTGTTATGTAGCAACCAGGAGTATTTATGTTTTTATCTAACTTCTCCATATGGATGACGAACATAATAAAGTCCAGAAACTTTGTCTTGTGGGAGAGGCAATGAGAGAATAGTTAGACAAGTGGTTCCCAGGCTGTTGGAGCAGAAAGAGAAGAGAGGGAGCAAGAACTGGCCTGGTGAAATGACTGTTAGGTGCCTGCTGAGTGGAATCCACAAAAAATGACTTCATGGAAGCTGAGGGGGGAAAGACCTGCCTGCCAGAGCATAAAGCTGAACACAGGCATGGGAGTTCTTTGATTTTCCAGTTAGGCTTAATTCACCTGCTGAAGCCCTGGCACAGCTAAGGCTCTACTGTTAGAGAAGGAGAATTCCCAGGCTGTATCAACCTTCTCCCCAGAATGTTCTGTCCTTGACAGATAGAAAGGAAGGTAGAGGGGAGAGGGTTGGAAAAGAAATCCAGGGGCAAAAAATATCTCTGACTCTTAGCATGAAGATGGAAGATTGTGGGGGGCAAAGTCAGTGCAGTTCACTAGGTATGTCTGAAGAGGGCACTGACAGGCAGAATGTACTAAAAAATGCAAAAAGAATCTTGTCTCTTTCAAAAACTTGGGAAGAAATCAGAAAACTCACCATATTCTGAGATTTCCAAGTTAGCGATGCTATAGTTAGGCAGGTGTATAAGTGGTCTGAATTTCAGCGGTGCTGAGCACAGACAACTTCTGACTTCAAGGGGATTGTGATGCTTACCCACCTTTGTAAGACAATTTGACATCAACAGATGAAAATCATGATATAAGGGGTAAATATTATTTATTACTATTATTTCAGGAACAATATCCTAATTTGCCAGTGTTAGTACAGAGAATTATCACTTTGTTTGGATGCACTTTGTTCTACAGATGGACTCAGACTGCAAATATGCATCTGAATCCCTACGAGTAGGGTATTGTATTCAGAGTTGATCCAAAATGTGAGGGGGACTAGTTTCTGGTTATTTGGATGCGGACAGAAATCTCATATAATCAGCTGGCCTTACAAAATATCCCCCGTTTTGGGCTGAAATTTCGTGAGGGCTATGCCTTCCCATATATAAGTATAGTGCCTAGCACATTTTGAACACCACTGCAAAACAAATAAATACATACAAATATTAACCACTGAACACTAGTCTTTCTTCAGCTTCACTCCTGACCTCTGGGATCTAAAACACTGTCTTCTCATCCCATCTTCAACTAATAGAGAAAAGACCAAATGCTGCAGTCTTTGCTGAGTCCTCTTTGCTTTAAAAATTTGGCAGAGATTGAGAGTGCTGTGAGTTGGCTTGTTCTGTCCCCGCTGGGGACAGAGAACTTGCTGTGGTGTCAGTGACAATTCCTACTGAGTCTCAGTCTTGCTTTTTCCCTGAAGTTAGGATCAGCTTATTTTATGAAAACTGTTTTTAAAAACCTGACGAGTTAAATTTAGGATCATAGGAACATAAACACTACCATAAAGTTTGGCTCAATGCTCTGTCCACCTTAGAATCCTGTCTGGCAGAGGCCAATGAAGGTGTAAATCCTATGAAGGAGAGACTTAGAAAATCCTGCCCTAAGAGGAAGACCTATATTCATTATTTTTGTGTCTTATCTAAAGTTCACAGGAGATTTAACCCATTGTCTTTTAATAAATTTTCTTTTTATTTGAATACATCTTTTTATACACCTGTATAGATTACTTTTAATACTATATATTGTTCTACTGGAATGGCTTGATTCATGTTGCTCATAATGAAAGAATATACATGGGATTTAAGTAGGCGACGCTAAATTCCAAAAGAGAAATTCATTGCACATTGCCAAAGCTTCTACAGTTATTTTCGTGTGTCCACCATCATTCTTATGAGTTTCCAGGTATTCTGCACATCTGAGTTGCCCAAATAAAAATGCAAAACAGTTAGTTGAAACCCAATTTTTGAAACTCTGCCAACAAATGACTACAGGATGGTGTTACAAAAAACAAAATTAGTTCTCATTTAAAGAAATGTCTCCTGCCTTTAACAGGAGGGTTTTGTGAATAAGATGCTGGATCTCTGTAGGCTTCTATATAAACTCTAATTATAAACCATTTAAGGGCTGATAGAGTAATCTGTGTACTACCTAATTAAAAATGTAGTGTTTATGCCTGCTAGTGATGAGAAAGAGAGAAATGATGTGTCCTAGGAAGATGCTTTGGAGGGAAAAAAAGGAAGGGCAACTATCATTCTGGAGACTGTGGTGGTGTTAGATGTCGGTGCAAGTGGCACAGAGAGGTCCATGAGAATACAATACAGATAAATGTTTTGTAAACTTGCAAGCAACATAGGAGACTCAGCACTACATTCGGTGTAGTGATACCTACACTTCACTCTTTATGTACTTTCTAGCTCACGAAATCAAAGTCATCAAATAAAACTATCCAACTGAAACTACGAATAAGGAAATAATATCTAAAATATCGTTTTACACCTTATTCTGAAGCATACAGTTCTGATCACTGTCAGAGACAGGATACTTGATTAGATAGACTAATGGTCCTATCCTGTAACACAGTTCCTATGGTCCGGTGACACCACTGCTTTGCTTCTCACTATGAATTCAGTATTCCCTGTAGCAACATAAATAATCAAAGTGGCATGCAGTATTTTAGAGAAGGTTAGTATTGAAAACACAAATATGTGCATTTCAGAGTTCACACTTAGCTCATAGCTAGCTGTGAGTCAAAACCTGTGTATTCTTCTTATTTATATTTTTATCACTGATCCATTAAAAAAAACCACGTTATAATTCATTTGAGAAATGTAACTGGGGTAAAAGAAAACTTACCCAATAAATTACCCAATCCTGTAGAATCCACTCTTATGAGAATTTCCTATATGCATCTTTGGGAAGAACTGTTTCCCAGAGCACATTTAACTAACAGACTACAATATTTATTTATATGCCAAACTACTGAGAAACTGATAACCACTCATGTTTTTCCTGGGTACGTTTCATAATTCCATGCTTCCATTCCCTTTTAGAATGCTCACAGTTCCCATAGACCTGGGTATTTTCTCTCACAGTTAGGTCATCTTGGAGGTTCTCTCATCAAAACATCTTTTAAGATTTATTTCTAAGCAAACTGCACATTTAATTTCTCAGTTCTAGGGATTACTAACTATGGACATAGTTGAAGCCTGCAATTTTCAATGACCTCAGGGATTTGGATACCCAGTTCCTCATTAATTTTTATGAAAATTGGTGGTGAAATCCTGCCTACTGAAGTAAATGGTCGAACTCCCATTGACTTCTGCAGGGCCAGGGAATCATCCTCGGTGTCCAAATCCTGTAGGTGGCTTTGAAAATGCCACCTGGATTGACTACGTATCTACCAGATTCCTCTTACCTGTTTGTGAGCATGGTCATATGAGTTGATGTGATTGTCAAACTCCTGGTGTTTGTAGTACTGTTTGTCACAGAGTTCACAGTAGAAGTTGGCCTTAAGGTCTTCCAGGGCTTTTGCTATTGTGTTCTCCTTTTCAGCATAATCCTGAAAAAAACAAAACAAAACAAAAAAAAAACAGCAGAACTTTAGTTGTCCCTCTGATGCTAGAAACTGGATTTGTGCTCTTCATTTTAATCCTATTTGTCAACACTGATACTGCCATAACTAAAAGCTTGTACATATTTACCAGGTCACACTGCACATATTTTTCTATATCAGGTGAGAGGCACACAGTTGTGCACATTCTAATTTGCTGCACAAATGAAAGCTACTCTTGGGTATCTGACACATACAAGTCTAGAGAAGCAATTTGTTTAAAGTTCTGTCCAAAAAGGCCAAATATTTATCATGCCTAAGATCACGTTAATGTTAATTTCTGTCAAATAACCAATGCTTAAAATGTTCAGCGTATAGTGTACCTAACCAGAATAAGCATGAAGACCAAAAAAACCCCACTAATCTACTCTGGTTACAGGACAGTTCCAAAGAATGATGATGATACAAAATGGAAAATAATAAAAACACCCTTAGAATGACCTATCTGAAAATATACACAGATAGATAAATTAAAGGATCATTTCTGTGTTAGAGGTTTAATGATTTTTCCCCTCAATTTGTTATTTGTCATCTGTAAAAAAAGAAATACAGCTCTTGCTTGTCATTCATATATTAATCTCTTGCAAAGAATCAGGGTTAAAAATAATCTTGTTTATTATTGGAGAATAAATTCTATAAATCCCTATTTGATGTTTTCTTTCCTAGATACATTGACAATAGTATGGCTTTTTCTTGAAGACCATAGTCAGTGTCTGATTCTGATCTCAGATCAGTTTGACATCAGGGTAACTTCATTGACTTCAGTGGTATTACTCCCAATTTGTAGCACTGTGTGTGAGATCAGAATCGGGCCCTAACATTCCAATTGGTATAAACGTTAATTACTCCAAGTGCATACACTGAGGAAAGAATACATTTGTCTGGTTAAATATTTGGAAATTTCCAGTATGAGACTTCTTAAACCAACTTTAGTTTCTATCAGTCTGTTTCTCCCAACAAGCTCCTTTTCAAGGAGTAAAATAAGAAAAAATATACTATGAAAATTTATTTTATAATTCTTGACCTTACCTCTGAAAAATGAACTAAAAAGTTCCCTATTATACTTATTTATGAACAACTGTAAAAGCATGTCATACAAAGTCTGTTTTTAAAACAGCTTGTATAAATTTGCAACACTTTCCGGAGTTTCCTAAAATGTTCAGCAGAGGTGTTTTTCTAAAATAAATAATGGGAGTAACAATCATAGTGACTTCAGTTTTAGAGTTGCATCTTAAAATGGCACTTATTTCAATATAATTCAAAGTGGCAGAGCAGCTGGCAAATGTTGATTCATTCACAAGTAGCATAATCATAGCTATTTTATCATCTACTTTCATTTCTTACAATAAAATCAGATTGAGTATTTGCTGTTAGGATACAGTAGATAGCACTAGGGGGTTAGAGTCATGAAAAGAATAACAAAATCAGCTCAGAATTTTGTCTTGAATGGAAGCTAAATGGCGCCATGTTTCTAATGAGGGAAGGGGAAATCACACATTTTTTAAAATGTTTTTTAGATTTTTACATTTTATAAAAAACTAAGTTTCATATAAAAACCAAGTGAGCTATCAGTTCCAGGAAAGAAAGGTGCTACTTTATACTTAGAAATATATTTATAGTGTATGGGGGCCTAGCCTGGAAGTCCTGCAGTTACTAGCATGTCTGAAACTCTCTATTTCAAATCACTTCTATAGTTGCTTAGGTTGGATGAGCTTGGGGTAGAAGTGGGGGCAGCACAGTCAATCCCCGAGGGGATGGAATGTCTTGCAACACTCTGCAGAAACTGGTCTGGAGTTGCGGTGGTGGTCTGCAAAGGGATTCACATCCGGTTTTGCTTGATTAGAAGGGGAGGTGCAAAATTAAGGGGTGGAGAGATTTGTGAAATCAGAGCATTATTACAGCTCTAGAATGTTGTATAAGACCATTTAGAGGGAAACGTGCAAGTACAAGAATATGCAAGATAGGAACAGTGACACACCATGACAGACAATGATATTTTTCATTTCTGTAATACTCCATTTGAGGATCGCAAAGCCCTTTACAAATCAAACACTGAGCCAGATTCTGTTACTTTTACTCACATGGAATAGCACCTAATTTCTGCTTCTGGAATAAAGTACTACGTATCATAAGAGTGAGACAATTGGGGCTACTATAACTGAAATGAAGTTTACTTGGCAATTATACTTGGCAGAGCCAATGCATCATAACAGAAGTAGCAGTTCCTTGGGCCATGGTAACCATGCCACCACAACTCTAACACAGCCTTAGTGTTTAGACTCATACCAGTCATTATACAGGGATCACTACCATTGAAATACGCTATGGAATTTTTAAAAATACACAGCAATTCTAAACAACAATATATAGCAAAAGTAAAGATGCAGCTACATCTCATTGAGACTGCAAGTGGAACCAAGGTGGCAGAATGTAATAACCAGAGATGAAACCTGGCCAGAACACTAGGAAAACATCACTACTTTTAAAGAAAAGCTTCAGAAGTCTGGAAAGACCTCAAATGATCAAAACCCTTGGTTTTATGTCTCAGTGCAAATACTGTTGCAAACCTTTCCCATTTTTCATGAAGAACAGACTCGATCAGCTGGCATACTAACTGTAACTAACCTGGGCATGGGATTGCTATGCTGGTATTCTGCCTGGATTTTTTGGTTTCATGGTACATTTGGGGATTTCTCTTGGCCTTAGTATGAGGTAAACACTAACACTGCAGTGTGTCTAGTAGCCAAGTTTGGAGACCTATTGTTGTTGATTTGGAGGTGGTCAGTCGGTGGGAAAAGGCAAGGAGCTTGGTATTTTTCTGTGCATTAAAGGAGTGGGGAATTGACTCACTTTGTTAGCATCCCCAAAGAAACAAGATAAGTGAGAGAGCAAGTAGGCCACCAGCTTGCGGGGGGGGGGGGGAAGCTAACTGCCCCAAAGGTATCACAGATTGGAAGGGTACATGGTGAGGGTGTACATTTTAGGTTACTTTGTCCCCTGGCCCAGCTCCAAAGACTGCAAAAAGGTAAAGGAATGTGGTTTCAGCACCTTTCAAGAACAGGCCTTCAGTGTCCTTTATGTGCCTACACCTAAAATGTACTTTGTGCACTTGGTATGTAGATCCTAGAAAGTGCTGAGCACCTCTTGCAAGGTGTTGGGTGCCCTGTTCTCAGCATCTTGCAGGATAAAGGCCTACAATAGGCAAAGGCTAATTCTTAATATTTCTTAATTAGCCATATAAGATTGTTAGTAGAGAGCTGAGTGATGTGATGCTCCATATTCTTTATAGAAATATGCTTATGATATGAATATGGCATAACTAAGACATATTTTATGCAGGATGGCTCGTGTAAGATATAATTGGAAAGCTTATGATTTACTGAATGTGATTATCCAGTTTGTATGCATGTATCATTTCTGTATCTGGAGTTAGGAATATTGACTATGTAACCATTACGACTGTGGTTATACTTGGAAACATCTACCAGACAGTAAGCAATCAGCCTTAATTGGCCATTAGGAAAAAGACAATGAGTCTTCCAAGATGTGGAGCCCCCATCTTCCAAGAGTTCCTTCCTGTGGTCATTGCAAATAAACCTGGTTTCATGGTTGCTTTGACACTGCAAGGTCAGGTGATAATGTCACCTGGTTAAAAAGTACCACCTTGGACACTGCTGGTACTTTTCTACTGTAACCAAAGACTTCCTGTCTTATGTAAATTCTATTTAAGGCTGGGGAGTAAGGCAAACAGAACTCTTCTCCATTGTCTTCCTGCCCAAGAAGAAAGACTGCTGAAATTACCTGAAGAGACAAAGGAAATGAGCGGTGGGAAAGGCAAGGGCTCAGTCCAGACTAAGACAGGAGTCTAGTCTGTAAAGAGAAATAACTGGAACTCTAAGCTACAGAAACTCTGCAACTTGCTTAAAACAACATTTAGGGTGAGAATTACTTCTTGTTACCAGTCTCCTTACGATTTTAAGCTTAGTATGTGTGTTTTGTTTTATTTGCTTGGTAATCTGCTTTGTTCTGTTTGCTAGCCCTTATAATCACTTACAATCTGCCTTTTATAATTAATAAACTTGTTTTTGTTTATTATAAAACCCAGTTTGTGCAATTTGTAACTTCAGGGAGGGGGCAAGAAGTTGTGCATATCTTTCTCCACACCGAGGGAGGGGGTGAATTTATGAGCTTACGTTGTATAGATATCTCTACAGTGCAAGATAATATTATTTTCGGTGTACTTTCCAGAGGGGAGCTACACTTGAGTGCTGGGCAATTTCCTAGCTGAGTCTTCTCCTAGAGAGCTGTTTGCAGACTCTGTGTGTGTGCTGCCAGAGGCCGGAGAGCCTAATTCAGCAAAACAGGAAGAGGGAGCCCAGGCTAGTGGAGCAGGCAGGCTCAGTGAAATCCCAGTACATCAGGTGGCCCAACCCGTCACAAGCTGATTGGAACATTTTCAACTAAATGTAAGATATGCTGTTTTTTCAAAGCCAAAATGTATTGTGTAGACATACCAATTTCAACTAAGTTTTCAAAAGAGAAGGTTTCTGAAGTCCAGGATGGACTCTCTTGTCACCTGAATCAAAGGCCTGACATTTTTGATCTGATAATGGACATTTTGACACAATTCTGTTTTGCAAAAGCATTAGACATGTTTTGTTTTCATTCCACTGTAGAATAAAACAAATTTTGAAACCTCAGAAGTTGTCACAAAATGGAATTGTCATTCGCCAGCCATCTCTGTTATATTTAGAAAAGTGTGTGTTCTTTACAATATGTATGTTGACATGAGGGAATGTTATACGGCTTAAAATATTCTTTTGCAAAGGAAAATGGAGAGAGGAAAAAATTGTAGACTTTTGTCTAAAGTCAATTAACTGGAATACCTGTGGGAACAATTAATACAGTAATTCTTTCATTTCTGTTAGATTC